TATGTTGTTTTATACTATATATCACAATAATGTTATTATGTAGACGTGCATTCCTATATAGTTAGATTTTGTACAACTCTGCGTTTATGAGAGTAATGCGATGAACTGTTTCTATTTGTTGTGTGTAGAATCAGCCTGCCCTATACTTGTGGGTTTCTCCACATGTTCGGCAATCTACTCGTTGGAGATCTGCTTAAAAGGTGTATGCACTCCGCTGTATTTTAAATCCTACCACTTTCATCTTAATACAGGCGTGAAGGGCAAAGCTTCGATGTTTGAGAATAAAGATACGTCATCCAGTGCAGCACCTAACGCACCAAAAAAGCCGACCGGAGGTAATCACATTCATGTTTGCTTTTGCAGATTTTAGATTCAAAGCCGATTTATATCACATCGTTGGCATTATGGCGAGTGGAATGTTCGTGTTGATGATACGGATGATACTGCCGTGTCTGTTTTTAATTACAATTCCTACTTTTATGGTTTTGAACTACAGCTTAGCATGCTGGTATGTGCTTGATTTATTTGCGTGTCTTTTATCTGAATGATGATTTGTTGGGATGTTTCACTGCAAGCATGGTCATTGGTGTAGCACAACCAGAGTCGGCATCAGACCGAATTAAATAGACCTACTGGCGAAAGCCTTTGAGCTGTGACTTCCCAACCTTTCTGTCCGCGATCGATCTGTTCTTTCGTGACTTCCACGTGAGATATTTTCAGTTCTGATGCAGAGCCTATTGATCACGGTAGTCACTCGCTTTATTCGACAGGACACGTGTGTTTGATTCGCATTTATCCGATTGTCGACCACTCACTTGGAATACAGTACAGAATGGTTGTCACCGATCTTTATTCTTCGCACCTTGGTGAAACTTGAATATCGCCACAACAGCATTTCAACTCTACTATTTTGGAATGTTCCTACAGGGAGTATAGGGACGCATATCACATGTCATAACATTCCAATGTCTACCACCCGTCTTGCTTTGCGCCTGATTGCAGTCCTCACTGTTTGTATCCCTGAACGTCTCGGACATACCTCAGGTGCTACATGGAAGAAACCAACTCCAAGCGGGCCAAAGCCCGCACCAATGGGTACCGGAGTGAGCTGGAATGCGCCTGCTAGTGCGCCGAAAGTCATGGCTAAACCAGTGGCTGTGCCCAAGCCAGTTGCCAGGTCACCCTCGCCCGAATTGGCCCATAAGAACACGGCACCCGTGAAGGGCAATGTCAACAAGTTTGCGAGTATCTTTAATAAGGTGGGTGTATGAAGCTTGTGGAGGTGTTTGTGCGACATGCATGTGATGTTGGTTTTCGTGTACTGCTTCGGCAGTGGCAATACCAGACATTGTACGTAGTAATCTTCAGCAGCTTATTTGGCAGGGAATGCAGTAGTAGTTATCTGTGCACACACTTTTTCACATACCAGGGTATCTGACAAGCGAAAGTATTCTGCTTACTCGGTAATGGTTGTAATCTTTTAAGAAGATTCGACGATATTTACGATAGTGTATAGTGCGTTGTACCGTTTATTCAAAGTGCGTGTCCGGTCTATGTGATCATCTGGTCCCCTTTCAATAGCAAACACGAGCGTTCATGTTTATCGATAATCATTGTGCACACAGGGAGGCTCACCAGCAGGCAAAGATGACAACACATTCGCACACAAGTCTGAATCCGAGCCTAAAGTGGCACCCAGACCCAAACCAGCCGCGCGCGAACCAGCCCCGGCACCCGAACCTGAGCCCGAATCAGAGGACGAACCAGAACCTGAGGAAGCCAAAGTGGAGGACCCAGAACCAGAACCAGTCAAGGAACAAAAGAAGGTATGCGAGACGAGTTTGACGATGTCGTCTACTAGTTTTAGTGGGATGTTGGGTATGTATGTGATTTGGGCTCTCCCACATTTGTACATTATCTCCTGACTGCCCTTGCGATTGAAGGGCGATGGCCCATTTTTAGTGTCAGGGCGAGGACAGCTTCACCTCTAAGCTGATCCAATGCCGGCGTATGTTTTGTCCATCACTTGTGTTGTCTCTAGCGTTCAAATCAATAGATTGAACAATAAAAATGTTGGCCGGATATGAATACTTGGTTGTTTGCGGCGCACTGTACCAGGTCTCGATGGCGCCCTTTTGTCCGGTCAATCTCTTTTGTCTAGCTAAAAGTATAGAAAATGAGAAAGCGAGCCTTTTGTAAGCTTAACCATTTTTAAAACGTATGTACACGACTGCTTCTATTGTGTTAGGTATATTGTTGTTGGTATGTTTTCTGTCGTATATACATCCAATTTCTCCTCTGACTTTTTCGGGTGATCTATTGGCATCCCAATCCGTTGTTGCTAACCTATCGAGACAAATCAATATATAACAAGTGCAAACTCTAACACGGGACACCAAAAAATCTCCCCAGGCTGCCGCAACACCGCCAGAGAAACCCGATAGTGTGGATGACAAGGACTGGAGCGACGAAGAAGACACCAAACCCGCAGCGGCGCCACAACACCACGTGAGTCGTGATTCTTTTATGAGGGCCCTACATACGGATGCAAAAGCAATGTTCAGCTGCTTATGATACACGTTTTGATCATCGCACAGTTCCCTACACTCCTCTTGGATAAACACATCGCGTCTGTGATTATATTCGCTGTACACATCATATGCACAATAGTTAATACCTTTACCTTATATCTACACCGTTACAGGAACCCGAGCGCCCGGTAGAGAGCACAAAACCCACCCGATCCGTACTTGCGGCCGCAAGTATGTTCGACAAGGGTGGGCCAGCCCCTGCACCGGCACCCGTGGGGCACAAGCAACCAGCAAAGACACACTCGCCTGTGCACCAGAAGAGCCATTCGCCTGTCAGGCAGGCCAAGAAGCAGTCGCCACCACCGGTGAAGAAGGCCTCACCGCCACCGGCGCGCAAGGAGGAGAAGATCGACGACAAGCCTAAGGTGTGTGAATGATAAGCAGCTTCGGGGCGGTATCTGAATTGTATGCACGATTGTGCATATTGAATTCCTATATACATAGCATGGTGTCACCGCCTCCTGTGTTCAACGAGACGATACAGGCTAAGAGTATAGTGCTGAATAGTGCGCTTGCAACGCGCAAGAGGTTGGTTCTGTTGTGAAGGGTTTAAATCGATGAATACCTATGTTTTGGATACCATATACGATCAATCTACCGGCGTATGGTCACACTCTAGTTTTACAGAATGCGAAACTGGAGGCTTTGAAGTGCTGTATATAAAAGTATGGTGTGTGTATTCTCAGCGGTGCCTCCCGACTATGATCAGTCCGGTTTCCAGCCGGTAATTTCTGTCGAGTTCATAAGAAGGTGCTGATGGATACTGACATCTAAGTTGTTCTTCAAGAGGGTTTCTCGACCTGACCCGACTCTTATGCCCTTATATATACTGATTGTTGGGTTTCTTGAGTGATCTTCCGTTTGTATGTACGGGTTAATTGTTCTTAAGGGTTTGCACTGGTTAGTTTTATTTAGGGGTTTGCACTTTTTAGTTGTTCGTAGGTTTTTGCACTGGTTAATTGTTCTTAGGGGTTTGCACTGGTTAGTTTTGTGTAGGGGTTTGCACTGGTTAGTTGTTCTTAGGGGTTTGCACTGGTTAGTTTTTCGTAGGGGTTTGCACTGGTCAGTTTTTCTTAGGGGTTTGCACTTTTCAGTTGTTCTCAGGGTTTCCCAATTGGCGGAAAGACTACAAAACTATCACGACTAAGCAAAACCACTACGAAATCACTTCAGGCCGGATCTATAGCCGCTAAGAAGGCGAGTGTCGAGGCCGCACTGAGCAAACAACCCACCGGACCAAAGGAAACCAACAAACAACAGGACGAGCCCGAGGCGCCACAATTACCAGGTACGTTTTGCTCATATCTTTTTGCAATGAGTATACTATACTTATACTGATGTGAGTACAAGACTTAGCAATGAGTTTACTATACATATACTGATGTGAGTACAAGACTTAGAATTAGGATTTTCCTATTGATCCGTTTGCGTCTGATTTGATATCAGATCTGTGAATCTCGGGTTCTCGTGTATGGATATGCAATGAGCTTTTTGCGATATACCAAACACTTAAGGTGCACCACTGTGATAGATACCGATTCTCTTGTTAAATCATGTCTTGTGCAGTTTGCATGGTTCAATCCAACTAATTAAATGTACTCGTAAATATTGACTGATTCCAGGCAGAGACAGAGATAAAGAAAATGGACCACGAGCGAAAGCCGAATTTGATTTCGAAGGTATGTCCCAATCTTTTGTTACTCTACGACGTGCATAAGGCCAAAGTAGACAGGACTATTTCACGTTAGTCATTGTGGATATTCGGTAGTACATTGATGGTACAAGTGCAGGTGTCGTTGTATATGCTTTCCATATTCGGAGAGTATATACTTTATAGCGTACTGTATCCTATATCACCCTCAGCTTGTCACAGACGTTATATACAGCTGGGTGAACACGGTGCATACTCATGTCGCTTAACTATAATACAGTCAATACAAATCAGTACCTCGCAATCTACATCCCACGTGGCTTTAAGGTTTTTTGTTTAATGTTCTGAATTATGCATGTCCACACCCCGTGAAAGTATATGAGTTTTCACTGGACGCATTACCAATGTTGGTGGCAATCCATTTTGATCCAATTCAATATATTTTATTGCAATTCATTTCATTCCAATCCAATCCAATCCAATCCATTTCAATTCAATTCATTGTAATCCAAATCAATTCAGTATCGCTAAATTCAATCCATCAATCCAATTAATTCAGTCTTGCTGAATTCAGTTTCATCAATCCAATTAATTCAATCCAATTAATTCTTTCCAATATCTAATTCAATGCAAACCGATCCAATGTTCAGGTGACGGCACAGAGGGAGAGCTGTCATTCACAGCTGGAGAAACCATCTATCTAACCGAGAAAATTAATGAAGATTGGTACCAAGGAGAGATGGCAAATGGCACCTATGGCATGTTCCCATCCAACTTCGTCAAGGTATGCGCGAATCGAGGACAGCTCGTATGGCTATAGTGTCAAGCTGTACACAAGTTGCACATACGTAGAATTAAGTTTATGTACTTCTACTTGCAGTCTGTATCGCAACACATGTCTCGCGCCTTTGACCCTGGCGCTTATGCAATGCTTTGACTGCGGCCGAGTCGCCTCTGAATGTCTTACAACTGATATAGAAAAAGTACTAAAAACTCCACACTCGAGACGGTCAATATTCACCTATTGCAGTTCTTCATATACTTGACAGGCAACACCTCAGCCCTGTAATATCCGTTCGCCTTGGCCTAGTTTACACACAACGATGCCAGTTCGCGTTCGAGATCATCCTGCTTGATATTGGCTAGCTTGCATGCATCTCTCATCGGTATTCCTACTCCCTTGCAGGTTATTAGAGATATCGGCGAACCTGAACCCGAGCCCAAGAAGGTCGAGAAGAAGGCTTCCACCAGAAGAGCGCTGCCCTCCACCGCTGGCAAAGAAATGACACCACCTCCCCCAAAAGGTATGTACATGTGCGGTTGTTTATGATGGCGTGGGTACAGGTGCTTATATATACACGCAAGACTGGTACTGTATCATATGTTATTTCTGATGAATATTTATATACACACAAGACTGGTACTGTATCATATGTTATTTCTGATAAATATTTATATACACACAAGACTGGTACTGTATCATAATGTTTTTTCTGATAAATATACATACACACACAATACTGGTACTGTATCATATGTTAATTTCTGATGAATATTTATGCACACACAAGACTGGTACTGTATCATATGTTATTTCTGATAGATATTTATAAACACACAAGACTGATACTGTATCATATGTTGTTTCTGTTAAATATTTATAAACACACAAGACTGGTACTGTATCATATGCTATTTCTGATAAATATGCCTCTGAGGTTTCTTTAATGACTATTGACACTCAAGCGCACAAACCGGCACGTCCCGGAATCGCGTGTTGTACTAATTGCTCGCGCGTGTACTGGCGCACACTTCTTCCGGCGGCACAGTCGGGTCTGCCTGCTGTCTGCCTCTTTACCAACCAACCGTCCATAGCATTATTTGCTTGCATCCATATCGCCTACAAATGCCTCACTGTTTCCTAAGTCTGATTTGCAACGAGTTCATTGTGTCGCATATTCTGTCTGGCTTTGACTTCCTTAGGTCCGCATGCGATCGCCTTATTCGATTTCAAGGGTGAGGACTCGGATGAGCTTTCATTCTTTGAAGGTGAAGAAATTAAGCTGTTAGAAAAAGTCAGCGATGAGTGGTTCCAGGCAAGTATTCGATATTAAAGTTACCACTGACTGTCTAATAGGCTATACCAGGTATAAGCTGTGCCTGTTGTTAAGTCAGTCGTGTGATACTTGTTAGGGATGGTATGGCTACATGTATCGGTGTATTCCTGATACAGTCTGATCTCGAATTGTTCTCAGCCATCCAATATGCATTGTCGGAAACGGAGAACACTCAGTTACCCATTCTGTATTGCAATAGTTCTTTTGCTTATCATCAGTGACATGTTTCTTCACTAACGTAGGGCGAGGGAGCCGACGGGTCCCAAGGGATATTCCCAGCCAACTTTGTCAAAGTGGTTGTGGAGATTGGATCTGGTCCTGTGCTTAAACGACAGAACAGCAATAAACGGCCGTCGTCGAGACCTGTGAGCAAGGTTGAGGCTGAGACTTCCAAGGAGATGGCCAGGGTATGTTTCACGCTTTCATGATGTGCATACTCAGTACACGCGCAGGATAAATTTGGGTGTTTTGAGTGGTACATATAAGAAGTGTTGAGTGTTCGTTATTTGGATGTGTAGCGTGAATCTTGGGTAAATTTCGCTGTACACTTACATGCACGCGCTCATTTGCAGACATTCTATGCGCATACTCTCGAGTAGAACGAGTTAGTACCGATGCAACCACAGAAAGACTTGTATAGCCACAGGTGTGCAATCAATGCGACACAGTTCTCAGATACTTCTGTACAATCTCAATAAACCCTACATAACCCACGTTGCTCCACAGGCGTTGTTTGACTATGACGCGAATGACTCGGATGATTTACCGTTTAAAGAGGGCGATATGATAGAAGTGCTTGAACATGTAGACGCAGACTGGCTGACTGGTACTCTGAACGGGAACACGGGAATGTTCCCCTTGAACTTTGTAGAAATTGTGAAGACCAAAGGAACCGTGAAGAAGATCAACTCGAAGCCAAAGCAGAAGAAGGAGACGTAAGTTTGTTTTGCTTTATATATTGTCTCGGTGCGTGGTAGTTGAAGCTGCACAGCTAGATTACTATTCGGTGGCATTTTTCCTGTGGTGCTATCTTCCGCAGGAGCTCATGGGGCCATTTGTGATATCTGCGTATGTGTTGTTAAATCAGAGTTCTGATATCGGGTTTTATGTACTGCTTTACTCCGAAGCTCATGAGGGTTAGTGGTCTCTAAGTAGAAGTAGAAGTGAGCGTATACTACCGAGCCATTTTGACCCCACTGTGTACAGTGTAACTCCCTATCTCCCTAACGCTAAAGTACGCATCTCGGTGCTCATATACAATACACTATGCCAGTCTTCACTAATACAATTTCTGGTCTCTTTTGAAATTGCATCAGGCGACCGCATGCGATTGCGCTCTTTGACTACGAAGGCGACACACCCGACGACCTGTCCTTTACCGAGGGCGATACAATAATCTTAACTGCATTTATTGACGAGGACTGGTTTGAGGGCGAGAATGAGAAAACAAATGATTCCGGAATGTTTCCAGCGAATTTTGTGGAGGTGAAGATCAACTTGTAAGGTGGATGGTGGCGAGCTTGGATGGCGATACTTCTCTATATATCAGTAATTATACTTGTTGAGGGTGTGATACCTTCTTTACACAACCGCTGCAGAAATCGAATAAAAGGATATCCAAGCTTCTCTATACATACCGAGCTTTAAGCACAATCTGCAATACATATATGCCACAATATATAT